GACAATCATGTGATTTTAGCCCAGTTATTTTATTCTTCCCTTCGATCACATTTTTTTTTAAATTTGAAGCAAATCCATCGGGAAACCTTACTGATTTTAAAAAATCACAAAAGTTTTTACTGTCATTAGGAGATAGTGTATAAGACGCATGTGGTTTCATCCAACGATCACCGTCTTTGCACAAATGTAACTCCTTGCGCACCCCTATATTTTGCAGATCCATTCTTGCCTTATCCGTATCCTTACTTTTTCCGTCAATGTGTAGAATTGTGCCTAATAAGCTGTCGCATACATTCTTCTCAATATGCATGACATCTAAGTTGTGACATAACGATAATGACTTTCAATAAGGCAACTCCCAAAAGATACTCTTCTTTGTCCAATTAAGCTCGCTTGCATGTCTTTTTCGCTTCTTACCACCATACTTTTCATGTTTACTAGGCAATCTAAAGGACACATTTTGTAACTGAGCTAAGATTTGGTGAACAGATTTTTGAGCCGGTGGAGGTCATTTCTCAACCATACCATCAAACTTTTTATTTTTTCTCATCCCATGTTTAATAGAAAGCCATTGCCGATGGCCAACAAAATAAGTCTTACTTGTTATCCTCTTTGAATGAGTTGCATCGTTGCAAGTTGGCCATGCTAAATAGCCCTGACCACTCCATCTAGATAAATTACTACGAGCAGAAAAATCATTAACAGTCATGAGCAACATAGCTCACATATGAAATGATGTATTCAAAACTGCGTCACGTACAATTACTCCTTCATTCCACAAATGTTTTAGCTCATCCACAAGGGGCCTTAAAAAGACATCCATATCCTTTCCGGGTGCATTTGGGCCAGGAATCAACAATATCAACATCTTATAAGGATCCTTAGTGCATAACCAGGGAGGTAAATTGTAGGCCATTAAAACCACCGGCCACATACTGTATGAGAGGCTCATGTTCCCGAAAGGATTGAAACCATCAGCGGCCAACCCTAAGCGAACATTTCTTGGCTCACGTGAAAACTCATGATACTTTTCATCTACCTCCTTCCATTCAATACCATCGACTAGATGACACATTAAATCCTCATCATTTGAACGCCCATGCTGGTGCCATGTCATATCTCTAGCTGTGTGACGAGAACCGTACAGACGCTTCAACCAATCTGTTAACGGGAAATAACGTAGTACTTTCCGCGGGACTTGTTTAGTACCCTTTGTCTTTTTTTTCTTCCAATGGGATGTTTTACATACAGGACACATTTATAGATCAGCGTTCTCCTTCCAAAATAAAGCACAATCGTACTTGCAGACATGAATTGTTTCGTAACCCAATCCAAGTTTACTCATGAGCTTCTTCGACTCATAATGAGAAGAAGGTAACTTCACATCCGGAAATGCATCTTTCAATAGACTTAAGACAGCATCCATACACTCATTAGGCCACTTGTATAACACTTTTAAATGCATCAATTTCACTAAGAAATTTAAAGATGAATACTTAGTGCAGC